AGATGTGATGGAATGGGGTCAAGAGGGCAGCTGGTGGACGGGCAGAGGTTACTAGGGTAAGAACTTGGTTAGGAGACAGGGGGGTAAAGGAGGGAAGTGAGGGCGAAAGAGGTGAAGCCAGTGGGACACAAGTAGTAGGAGGTGGGTTTGAGAAAGAAGCGTATGTCAGCTATTTTCTTGGTAAAGTAGTTGACAAAATCTCCTAGATGGGGGTGGAGGAGGACTGGGGGGTTCAAGATGACCAGATGGGGTGACCAGATGTCCGGATTTAGGCCGGACCGTCCGCCTATCTGTCCTCCTTTTTGGAGCTGCTGTGGGACTAAAGAGCCACGCCGCCCCGCTGCTTCCCCTCTAAACCTGAGCGAACTTCCCTGATTCAGAGCCTCACGAAATAGTGTACTAAGAAAGAAATAAGAAATTTAAGAATTCATGTTTTTTTTTTCTCCTTCTTTAATCATTACAATTCCCTTTGAAGCTGATGTCCTGCTGCTGGTTTCAGTGACTGTCTCCCCACATGTCCTTTAATTAAAACATTAGTTTTAATGCACAATGGTACAGTACAACGAGCTGAATCTAAATAAAGTTACATAACCGTTGAACAAACCGGTCTCAGATTAAAGGTTAACCTAGTTATAGCATAGGATCTTATAAATAACCGCTACGGAAAAGTGGGAACAATCAGACCAAGTCACAGAAGTCTGGTCGAGAACAGGCTGCTCTGCAGCGTGAGAAGAGCGGACCACCCGGTGCTGGAGGACGGTCCCGTTAACCAGACCTCACATCCAACATCCGGGGAGCAAATTGTTACGAAGGCTGAATGTTGACAAACCAACTTCTAGTCTGAAAAAGTCCTAAAATTACATTCGGTGACTTAAATATGGTAGTATAACCAATAACCGATCAGGGCTGAGGCTTATGATGATGGACTGTCCAAAGAAAAGGGAACCCAAGGAGCACCGCATGTGAAGCTACGAGGGAAGCAAACTCAAACATGCAAAACAACATAAGCGGGACTCCGATCCACCAACGCAGACTCAGCACCTGGATGGGGGGAGATGAGAGAACAGGTTTAAAATAAAAGAAACCAAAACTAATACAGAAAGAAATAATTAAATTTAAACAAAAACTATAAAACACCAACAAACTGCTTCACAAAATAAGCAATGACAAATTCACAAACAGACAAACAACAAAGGAACCAATAAGTACAGCCTTTCTCTCGTGCAGGTACAACATGTCTTCACCCACTTAGGAGGCCAAGACAAAGCAAAGCCAAACAGGGTGAGCAGCAGTGGCCTCTGGCCGGTTAGCGGCTGTAGTGCTGCTGCTCAATGATCCTTTGCCCGGTCAGGCCGCCTCGGACAATCAGCGGGTCGGACCGATCGACGCTACCGCGAGAGCTGCCAGCGGCGGCCATTGAGTGCATGAGGTGGAGAGCAGCATGCGGCCTTCGTGAGCCGCCACCACACGGCACAGCGTGCACGACGCCAGGATGTGTCGCAACCGCAGCCTCCAGCAAATGACAGGCCGACAGGCGCTCTGAGGCGCCTTTATACCGCATTGAGATGCAGCGAGGGGCTGTGATCCAGACCCAGCTGACCGTTATTAGGACCAATCACTGCAGACATCTGTCATCCTTCCTCTGTGTCTCACTTCCTCACTGCATGAATATATTTTATTTTAACTCTCACCCTTCCATCACCCCCTCCGGCAGACAGTTAATTGTCATTCGGCGTGTGTTTTGTCTGAATGGCTCTGCTCATCACACTGAGGGTCGGCCAGCGACTCTACATGGAATCTACTCGCGCCAATAATTCGCTTCGCTTTTGGTGTGAATGCAGCATAAAAGCTGCAGGAGAACAAGGTGTTATTTCTCCGGCTGTCAATAATAACATTAACTAGTTAATCGCACATTTGGAAATCCATTAATCTCGATTAATGATGATTAATGAATTAAAAATAATCCGTAATCACTTTAGAAAGTGCATATTTTATACACTGTTAAATGTTAATGTTTTTTAAACTACACACATTTGATCATCCTGGAGGCAGAATTCCTCCTTGTGGAACATGTCGAACCTCCTGCCATCATCTCCTCTCTCCTCCTCCTCCCTTTCCGGTAGCTTCTCTGCTAATCTCCGGCCCCCCGTCGCCTCCTGACCTTGACTTTAAACTGAGAGGAGCAGATGGAGGTCACAGGGTGGAGGATGAAGGGATAGAAGAAGGACGGAGGGAAATAATTGAAGAAGAGGATTACCAACGATAAAGATACCAAAGTGATGAAGGGGCAGGAAATAAAGAACGGGTGGAGAACATCTGCTCGTGAACACATGAAGAAAGTGCAAAAGGAGGAAATGGCAACAAACATCAAAACAGATGGAACAATAAAAACATAAATAAAAAAGGAAATAATAGAAAAAAACGTGTGTGAGTGTGTGTGTGTGTGTGTGTGTGTGTGTGTGTGTGTGTGTGTGTGAGTGTGTGTGTGTGTGTGTGTGTGTGTGTGAGTGTGTGTGTGTGTGTGTGTGTGTGAGTGTGTGTGTGTGTGTGTGTGTGTGTGTGTGTGTGTGTGTTGTCGGCTCGATAGAGATTCTGTAAATCACTCTTGATTATTATGATTTATCTCATTTACAAAATTTGCAGCATAGAGACTAAAACAAGAGAGACACATTATTGAAGATAAAGCACCTTATTGCGTCAGGCCGAGGAGGGAAGCCGTGGTCTTTGGGCGGCGCTGGTCGGGACGCCGGGTCCATCGGGTCTTCAGATGAGACGTCTTCAAGCTCTTGGTGTTAAAACGGTGACGTCGTCTAACATCAAGAGGACAAACCGACCCGGTTTCTCATCTCACAAGCTAAATACATTGATTCATCGGTCACTTCACATCATGAACGTGAAGCTGTTTTCCTTTCGATCTGAGACCGTTTAAAATGTTTTTATGAACTCGGCTCTTCTGGAATTCTTTCCAGGTTAGCAACACCTGATAGCAACACAGTCTCAGCAGCGCTAATGAACACAAGCTAATCGCTAAGCTAATAGCTAATAGAACTATTTGCTGACACACATAAAGACAAAATATTCAATCAGATGAATGAACCAAACTTTGAACCCTGACTCCTGCATGAATATAAAAAGATGGCCGTCTATGTGTAGCATGTTTTTAACGTGTTGGTTGTGTCTGTCGGGAGACTTCTGTTGCCACGGAGACGCTGCTCTTACCGTCCAGCAGCAGCAGGCGGACGAGCTGAAGAGAAACCAAACGCTTCAAACTGACTGTTACAGTGGCTCTGTGGAGGACAGAGGACAGACAAAGAGAAGCTGAGACAAAGGAAAGAGGACAGAGGAAAGTTATTACACTTCTTTAAAGAATGAAACATTAACACAGACTGGTACGTATACGTTCGTGTTAAATATGAAAGTGAAAGTAAACAAAAGTTTAACAATTTCCAGCTGTGACCCCCCCGTCCATCAGGACTGAGACCTCGGTTTCACCCCGTCAGCCGGCTGACGGACTCTGTCCTCCCACCGGTCACCCCCCTCACACTCCACACTCACCTGCAGAGCCGACAACTTTTCAAAAAAACCTTGGAGTGAGATTTTGTCGGGTGACCAAAATGTTGCCGCGTGCAGCCCCACACGTTGGTGGCTCAAACATCACCACTTGGCGTAGTACCCGTGTAGTGCGCTGCATTCTGGTGGTTTGTGGGGCCCAAAGTGGTTGATGGGGGCGGCCGGCTGGAGATGGACAACGTTGGTCACATTGTGAGCAGCAGACACAGCTGATGGTCCCCCCGCCCCCCCCGCCTGAACTTATTCTGATTCATGTTCATCTGCTCAAGACTTGAGCTGAACATTCAACCAGAAAACTATTGCTGTGCCTCAATGAGCGTCTATGTACCACAATACAGCCGGATTAATAGACCTGTGTTTAAGATTTGACCAATTTAGGTTGATTGACATTCTGATTACAATGGTATTCAACTAATTCTTAACTGAAACCTCACCTATACTGTTAATAATTGTATTCTTAAGGATTTATGTCAATGACACAAGTTTAGTTGGTCGCTCTGACTTTGACTTTGGCTCTGGCTCGCTGGTGCACTTTATTTTTAACTTTTATTATTAAAATTCCTCTTGCACTGTGTTGTCTAATCTGTCTTGTTGTCCATTGTCTTACTGTTTGATGTGCACCAACCGCCAATCAAATCAAATTCCTTGTATGTCTGACATACAATCTTCTTGAAGGTTAATTTAATTTAATATTTTTTATCTTATTATATTGTATATAATGTGTATATAATGTGTATCTTCTAATTCTATTTTCTTCCCTGTACATGCTGCTGTGACTCCAAAATGTCCCTCTTGAGGGATCAATAAAGTATCAATCTATCTATTTATCTATCTATCTTTCTATATTTTGGTAATAAATTGATTCCTGACTAAAAGTCCTTAAGTCTTCATAAATCATATTACATCACATCACATGACACCACATGTCATTTATCTGACGCTTTTATCCAAAGCGACTTACAATAAGAACATTTCAACCACAAGGAAACAAACTCAGAAGAACAAGAAACAAGAAAGTGTGATTTCATCAAATAAGCCGATGTACAACTTGCTGTAGATAAGAACCATTATAAGTCCAATGTAAGTGCTGCAGGTAGTTAGTGTGTTAGTGGAGGTAGAGTGTGAACAGGTGTGTCTTTAGTCTGAAGATGTGAAGGCTCTCTGTGGTCCTGATGTCTTCAGAGACCTCCTTCCACCATTTAGGAGCAGGACAGCAGAGAGTGGAGATCTAGTCGAGTGTTTTGCTCTCAGTGAGGAGGAACAAGCAGTTTATCACATGCAGAGCGGAGAGGTCAGAGGTCGGGGTGTCGGGTTGGACCAGGTCCTGGATGGAAGCTGGACCCTGCGTGACTCTCATGAAGCATCTGAGACGCTCCTTTGTAGCCGCCGCACACTGACGTCACTAACATGCGACTCCGTCCGTCACAACGACGCAGCTCAGCGAGTCGCTTCACTGAACCCCGTCTTTCCGTGACCCCGTGACGTTTCCTCCACAGGTCACGGAACAGACGCCGTAGTTCCGCTTCCCTTTGTCCGTGAAGATGTCGCTGCTCCACAGCCTGAAGCTGCTCGTCAGCCGGCGGCTCTCCGCGGCGCTCGAGGAGGTCTTCGCCCACTTCGAGAGCACGATGGCGGAGTACGAGGACGAAATGGACCGGCTACGATCCGCAGGTCCGCTCGCCCTTCACGCTAGCTAGCTAGCTAGCCGGCTAACCGGCTAACCGGCTAGCTAGCTGGCGAACGTGAATTTATCAAAATAAAATCTGTTAATGACATCACGTAATGATTTTGTATGGATGTTACAAATAAGAAAAAAGACTAGTCTGCCTTTGATTAGTACATGTTATTGTGCTATGGTAATAATAATACAGAAATGGTGTTTTATTATATTGTGTTTTGTACAGCACTTCATCAAAGGGGGTCTATATAACAATGGTCACCCTGTTTACTACTATGTGACAATAACAACAGCCCAAAGAATAACAGCTGTATTGCCGACTTCCTTCTGTTCAATATATAAGGATATCATTTATCTTATTGTTATTGTTTCCTGTTTAAGTTCCACGCGTTCTTACTTCATTCTGTTCTGCAGACGTCAAGCTGTTGGTGTTAAAGGGAGAAGTTCCCCCTGAGCAGCAGGAGAGGAGCTCCAGTCAGGACCAGGAGGACCCAGAGCCCCCCCACATTACAGAGGACCAGGAGGACCCAGACCCCCCCCACATTACAGAGGACCAGGAGGACCCAGACCCCCCCCACATTACAGAGGACCAGGAGGACCCAGACCCCCCTCACATTAAAGAGGAGCAGCTTCAAGGACTGGAGGAGGCTGACATGAAGGTCTTCACTCCTGTGAAGAGTGAAGATGATGAAGAGGAAGCTCAGTCCTCACAGCTTCATCAGAGACAAACTGAACAGATGGAGACAGAAGGTGATGGAGAGGACTGTGGAGGACCAGAACCAGACAGCAACTCCGGTCCAGATACCGATGAGGAGACTGAAGACTCTTCTGAACCCGACACTGAGGACAGTGATGACTGGAAAACGGTTGTGGCCAATGAGACACGGTACGCTGACAAACACGCATGCATCTGCTTAGAGTGCGGCAAGCGTTTCACCAACCGCACAAACCTGAAGGTGCACATGTTGATCCACACGGGACTCCGGCCTTTTTCCTGCACCTATTGCGATAAAAGATATCCTCAAAAGAGAAAATTAATGCGTCACATGAAACGTCACGTACCCAAAATAAACTACAGCCATTTTGAAAGCATGGGAGAAGACGAGAGTCACATGGGGAGTCACACGGGGGAGGAGTTGAGAGTCACACGGGGGAGGAGTCGAAAGTCACATGGGGAGGAGTCACAGGGGGGAGGAGTTGAGAGTCACACAGGGGAGGAGTCGAGAGTCACACGTGGGAGGAGTCAAGGGTCACATGGGGGGTCACATGGGGGAGGAGTCGAGAGTCACACAGGGGAGGAGTCGAGAGTCACACGGGGGAGGAGTCAAGGGTCACATGGGGAGTCACACGGGGGAGGAGTCGAGAGTCACACAGGGGAGGAGTCGAGAGTCACACGGGGGAGGAGTCAAGGGTCACATGGGGGAGGAGTGGAGAGTCACATGGGGAGCCACACGGGGGAGGAGTCGAGAGTCACACGGGGGAGGAGTCAACGGTCACATGGGGAATCACATGGGGGAGGAGTCGAGAGTCACACACGGGGAGGAGTCGAGAGTCACACGGGGGAGGAGTCAAGGGTCACATGGGGAGTCACATGGGGGAGGAGTCGAGAGTCACATGGGGAGCCACACGGGGGAGGAGTCGAGAGTCACACGGGGGAGGAGTCGAAAGTCACATGGGGAGGAGTCACACGTTGGAGGAGCCGAGAGTCACTTGATGAGTCCCACAGGGGATGAGTCCGAGGTCACAGGGGGAGGAGTCGTGGGTCACATCGGGAGTCACAAGGGGGAGCAGTCGAGATTCACATGGGGAGTGACACGGGGGAGGAGTCTAGATTCACATGGGGAGTGACACGGGGGAGGAGTCGAGAGTCACAGGGTGAGTCATATGGGGGAGGAGTCTAGATTCACAGGGTGAGTCATATGGGGGAGGAGTCTAGATTCACAGGGGGAGTCATATGGGGGAGGAGTCTAGATTCACAGGGGGAGTCATATGGGGGAGGAGTCTAGATTCACAGGGTGAGTCATATGGGGGAGGAGTCTAGATTCACAGGGGGAGTCATATGGGGGAATCGATAATTAAGTTTGATATGTTACATATTAAATCTACAATATGTCGCCTGTGAAATGTTGTTTTTACTTCAGTATCTATTTGCACCATATAACTTCTCACATGTACATTTACAACGTTCCTGTCTCCATTCGTAAAGTCATTTGGAGCTGCTGTCTAATTTATTTCATTCAATATTTTATTATGTTATTTTTTAAAACACAGTTATTAATCGTTGTTTTAGGGAGCCTGAAAATAACTGTTGGTTGATGTCTGTAATTCTGCAAATGATTTATGTTTCTGTAATCTGGAGTCTTCTCCCATTTTCTGCCATTTGTTTAGATTTGTTATTTCTACTTACTAGAGGATGAACAGTAAAATGCTTCAATTTACTGAGCAAATTATACTCAATTAAATGTGAAATATACCATGTTTTAGGAAACACATTCATACCAACGTGCAACGTGCCAAAAGACTCATGACTTTAGCAAATTGTCCTCAGGTTTATTCTTAAACCCGATCGATCTTCAGACAATGTGATAAAAACACGGGGGTGAGCCAGCAACTGACAATATATATATATTATTATATATATTATCATTTTATATTTATGTGAAAAGAGTTTCTATTTAGACAAACCACGTATAGCAACATAATGATTTTAAACATAGTGTAGTTTCCATTTGTCATTCCATCAAAGGGCCACTGATGCACCTACGGTTTAGTTTCTCTTACGCAGCAAGATAGCGGTTGTCCAGGCAGTCTTTTCCTTTTGTATTTTATTTTCAAAGAGGCCAACAAATACATATAATATATCGCTTGTGGCTGCTCGCGCTGTGTTGTGTTGTGTTGACTCGCTGGTAAAAACTAAATAGCATCCAACACACTGCATGTCAAAAATAAAATATATTTATATATATATTTATATCAAAAATATATATCTATACAAATTAAAATAATTTAGTCACAAAATCCAGCACCAGTGATCGACATCCACAGAACTGGTGAAAATGTTGTCCAATCGTGTTATTATTAACACTATTATCAAAAGACGTTTAGCTCGAAACATGTAAAATGCATAACGCACTATTGATTAAACCTGTGTAACCTCTCCACAGAGACACTGCGTTCGGCATTTTCTATTTTAAGTTCGCTGCTGAGAATACTTTGAATTAAAAATCACACAGGGGGTTAAATGACTTCCCCAGATGCCCACGTGGGGGCAGCACTGAACTACCTTTGCTTACTGAGGACTTTTTATTTATCAGTTTGTGTTCAAACTCAACCAAACATTCCCACTAAATGAGGATGTCACAACAAACTTTAAGGACTTTTTTGTGGCCGTGGATCCTGAGTACGACTAATATCTAAGTGTTTAATTCTGCCTCCATTCCTGAGTAACAAAATGTAGCAGCAGGTAGTGTGCGCGTCTCAGTGGGGGGCGTGTCTTTGTGTGTGTGTGTGTGGGGGAGGGGCTCCTGCAGGTAGTGGGCGTGTCCCTCCCGTAGCAGCAGGTAGTGGGCGTGTCTCTGCGGGCCGCCGTGTCCCTCCCGTAGCAGCAGGTAGTGGGCGTGTCCCTCCCATAGCAGCAGGTAGTGGGCGTGTCCCTCCCGTAGCAGCAGGTAGTGGGCGTGTCTCTGCGGGCCGCCGTGTCCCTCCCATAGCAGCAGGTAGTGGGCGTGTCCCTCCCGTAGCAGCAGGTAGTGGGCGTGTCTCTGCGGGCCGCCGTGTCCCTCCCGTAACAGCAGGTAGTGGGCGTGTCCCTCCCGTACCAGCAGGTAGTGGGCGTGTCTCTGCGGGCCGCCGTGTCCCTCCCGTAGCAGCAAGTACTGCCGCATTCTCTGCAGGAAGACGCCCTGAGCCGCTCGTGATGGATCTGCTCGCCTCGAAGCCGCTCGTGCTGCTGCTCTGTGTCGTCGGTGAGAAGAAGTGAACCCCCCCCCCGCTGTGATTCTCCCCCCGCTGTGATTCTCCCCCGCTGTGATCTCCCCATTGTTTTGCTTCGTTATGTTGTCGCTGTTTCACCGCGTGTGTTGTGGAATTCTATTTAAAATCAAGCTAAAATAATGTTTCCCTGTAAACCAAAACGATTGTGTGCTTCTTGTATTCATTGCGAACGAGGTGAAGGATGAAACACTCAAACGGAAAAGTGCGTCCTTAACCCCGCTGCTTGTGCTCCATGTTCAGGCTGCTGTGCGCAAAGCGCCGTCCTGCCGCCGGGTCCGATCGACGCGATTTTGGGGGGAAACGTGACTTTAAAGACCATCGGCGGGAAACTGGACTTCAACTTCCTCATCTGGAACTTCAATGACGGATCCAAATCGATCAACATCGTCACCGCGAGCGCGTCGGGCGTGAAGGTGGGCACCGCCTTCACCGGGCGGGCGAGCCTGAACGTGACCAACGGGTACCTGACCATCGGGCCGCTGAAGTCCGAGGACAGCGGGGACTACGCCATCACCATCAACCCTTCGGCGGGCGACACCGTGACCGGAGAAGTCCAACTTCGAGTTCTGAGTGAGTCACGCGTGACGTCATGCACTTAAACTTTAGGCAGAGCCGCCGGCGGCTCTTCTTCCTTCAGACGGGTCGTTCCGTGCGCGCGTTGGCGCTGCAGTGACGTCACAGTTCACCCGCGGCTCTGACGGATCCGGGTGGACTGTTGCGTTCGGGAAGCGGAAACATGCGCGTCGCTTAGCAACAAGCAGCCGCGACAATGTTCCTGTTTGGCGGTTTTCCTCTCGCTGAGGCCGCGGTCATTTTCCACGGTGCCACTTGTTCCAGAAAGCCCCGAGCGGCCATAAGCAGCCCATTCATTCCTGCTAGAGGTGGTGACGTCATAGCCTGATTAGAAAAAGGTGCGCCTCTTGCTGCTGGGCTTGTGTTACCTCACAGGTTTAATGCCGTCACCTCCCTGCTTCACTGACCCGTCTCATCCTGTAGCTCTAAAACACACACACACACACACACACACACACACACACACACACACACACACACACACACAGTGAACACAGCTTTGTGTAGTTGATCCATGTTGCATCTTTTTGCCGTTGGCTTGGTGAAGGAGAGCATTAATAAGTGAAGCAACGAGCTGCTCAGCTGATCTTCGGACTGATGGATCATCAACAGCTGATCGAGTGTTTACTCGCCTCAGTTTACAGTAAATGGAACCAGTTGGTTGGACACCGTCCGCTTGAGGAACACGAACACGTCTTGTCGGTTTCTGTATTTGTCAAAGGATGGTCTGCGGTGAGGCACGCGGCCTTTTCCCAGCATTCCTTTGGACTCGCCATCATTCACCTGCACGTACTGGTCGACCAGTAAGAACTCACCTCTGACTAACTCAAAAACCAAACCAGCGAAGGCTCCTGTCAGCGGGGGAACCGGAACCTCATCTGGTTCCCACGCAGCGCCCCGACCAGCGAACGGGGGTCTACAGCATTCAGCCGCTCATTGGCGAGAGTCCCTTCATTCCCGGTTTGTCCCCCGCAGAGCCGGTGTCCGACGTCTCCATCAAGTCCAGCCTGTCGGAGGCCATCGAGCTCAACAGCACGGTGGTCCTGACCTGCTCCGCCAAAGGCTCCTTCCTCCAGTTCAGCTGGCTCAGGGGAGACGTGCCCATCGTGGACGACGGCAAGCGCTTCACCGTGAAAAATGTCCGTTTTTCAATGCTTTCGTCAGAAAATGATATATGAGCGCTTTTAATCCCTGTTTCTTTTGCTATTAAAAGTCTGTTTTGTATTTGTTCATTTGTCCTTTGAAGGCGCACATTGCTTCATTAATCCACCTGTTGCTCTTGCTGAATCTCAGGGTGAACTGTCCAGTAATTTGACCCTCAACGACGTCCTCAGGACCGACCAGGGTCCCATCTACTGCACGGCCAGTAACCAGCTGCAGCTGGCGAGGAGCGCCCCCTTTAACCTCACTGTCTACTGTGAGTACTGCGCCGGTTCCACCCGTCTGCTGCCACTGGGAGCGGACTTAGCATAAGCATGTAGCGCCCCTCAAACCCGACGGGTCGCTTGCTGGCGGTCGGTAGACGCCCTCTCAGCGCTTATTCAAACCAGACCTGTTTGTGTGTGCTCCAGACGGACCAGAAGCAGTCGCCATCAGTCCTCTGGCCCCTCTCTACATCAGCTCCAAGGCCAACTTCAGCCTGTCGTGTTCGGCCGTCTCCAGCCCGTCCGCAGATTTCCTGTGGTACCGGGACCAGCAGGAGATCGGGTCTGGGGGTCCCATCCTGACTCTGGGGGTCATAAACTCTCTGGGGTTTGGGAACAAAACGGGTAACTACATGTGTAAGGCCCAGAACAAGAAGACCCAGCGCACCGTCTCCTCGGCGGCCGTCGCCATCGCTGTGATCGGTGAGTGATCGGAGCCTTCTGACGCTTTTGGCTTTGGGGCGGGGCTACCTCGTGATTGACAAGTTTCCACCAGGTGAAAAGGTAGATGATGAGAAACATTCAACATTCTGATCATTAACTTATATTATTGACCGAGAGGAGCAATGGCCCCCACCCTCCGGTTCCCCTGTTCCTAAGCACCGTTAGCTCCGTTAGCACTATTAGCTTGTAGCCGCACGCTCTGCAGTCGCCATGTTGAGAGCCGTGCAGAGGCAACAGAAAAGCTCGAGATCTTCTGTGATGGACGCTGGAGATGTTTAGCAGATTGAAACCGTAGCAAACGAGAGTACTTTCCTACTGGAGGTCTGCCGTCTATTCTGTTGCATTATGGGAAATGGAGGATTTTGTGTTTCGCGGGCTTGAGTAACAGAAGTACAACGTGGTTTGCCAGAGTTTTGAAAACACATTGATGAAATGCAAAAGAAGCCTTTCGTTGGCGTCCACAGAGCCCATCCCTAGTGCTGAGGTCAGCGGTCCGGCCGCCATCCTCATCGCCGGCAACAGCACCGCCAACATCAGCTGCCGGGCGACGGCCGGCAGCGCGGCGAGCACCACGTGGCTGAAGGACAAGCAGCCTCTGGCCGCCAGCGGCCGCCTGCTGTTCTCCGCCAACATGAGCTGGTTGAGGATCGACCCGCTGCAGAAGGAGGACAACGGGGAGTACACGTGCCGGCTGGAGAACGCCGTCAGCAGCGCCGAAGCCTCCTACAAGATGGTGGTCAACTGTGAGTGTTTGTGCTGCTTTCATGGCGCCGCACATCCGGCCCTGACGTGAGACCCTCACGCCCTCCGGCTCTGTTTCCCCCCCAGACGGTCCGGAGCAGGCGACCGTCACGGGCCAGAAGGCCGTCGAGGTCAACGACAAAGTGACGCTGGACTGCTCCGCCCCCTCCGTCCCCCCCGCCATCTTCTCCTGGAAGTTTAACAACACGCTGACCGACGTCAAGACGGCCCGATACCTGATCGACATGGCGCTCTACAAGAACACCGGCACGTACACGTGTGAGGCTTACAACGCCGTCACCGGAAAGACCACCGCGCAGAGCCACTTCCTGTCCGTCAAAGGTGAGGTCCATGTCTCCGCCCGGGTCGTGGTGGTTAATGGGGGTGGGTCTGTGGCGGTTTGTGACCGGCTCTCCTGGTTGTCTCTGCAGAGGAAGGCGCGCTGGATAAAGGTCTCTCAGACGGAGCCATTGCTGGAATCGTCATCGCCGTCCTCGTGGCCCTCGGCGCCGCCATCGGCCTGATCATGTACTGCAGACAGAAAGTCCCGTAAGTCCTCCGCCGTGACAGTGGGACGTGGGCTCAAAGCCGGTGTGATTCCGCTCGTTTGTTGGACATCGTGGTCGCGGCGCCGTCATTCCCACACTGGCAGGAGGGTTTCAGAGGAACGGTTCCCTCGCTGCGGGTTCCGTTTGCTGCTGGTCTCAGGTGGTCGATGTCTGCCGGCGCCCAGTGTGACAGATTTCCCTTCACTGAAACACAGAAACCGTCACACCTCAATAACGCCGTTTCTTCATTTACACAGAAGCGTTGCGGCTGTTTCTCTGTCAAAGCGTGCAGGACGTATGTGAGTGAGCTGGTAGCTGATCTCATTCCTCTCACGCTTTGGCGTCTTGCAACATGTTGGACTGAGGCCGTAACCGACGTGCGCTGTGGCGGTGCCACGCCCTTTAACTGCCACACGGCCCATAGCTCGCCACATTCCTCCGCCGTGCTCTCGTTGTTCTGGGAGCAGCGTCTCGTTTGATTCGTGGCTGAAGGAGCCTCACGTTTTCTAAATGACTTAACAGGTGATAAACTTGAGGTCATATTTATTCTCAGAAATCTCCTTTTCACGTCATTTATTTCCCCCCTCGTTAACCAAAGCAGCACTAGCGTTAGCTGCTAACCTTACGTGGCCAAAATGGTTACTTCTGGTTCCCTTAACGGTCCGACCTCGGCAGAACGCGGCCTGTGCCAACAGCGGACTCGCTTGGTCGACCTCAGTAAGCAGAAGCTGCAGCCACATGAAGCATCAGATTAGATTCACGTGTTCACTTCACAGTGGAAGTGATGCAATCGGCATCCTGTCGGATGTGGTGAGGAGCAGATTGACCAGCGATGAGTCGGCGACAGACGAACCTCCTGACTCACTCAGGCATTTTCTCACGTTTACAGCAGATGCACGTTGACACTGCGATTGATACTAAAAGGCTAACGTTTGTATTTCCACTGATCTATTTTCTATTTGTTCTGGAGGATTGTTTGTGAAAACCTTGTTAGAATTAAACCCCGCCCCCCACCTTCTACTTCCTCTTCTGTCAGTCAAGTGGCCCCGTAGGTCACCAGGGGTCAGGTAGGGCTGGTTTCAGCTCGGGGCCCCGGGGCCGTCACTGTTGGCGGGTGTCAACACTGGCGACAGGAGGCCTTTGTTCTGCGGGGCCTCCGTGTTGTGTGTTGGGGGGGGGGGGGGCGGCGCCCGGGCTTCACGCTCCTGCTTCAGGCCTCCCCGGTCGTCACACACCAGCAGGCACAAAGGGAACCGGTTGGGCGGCGCAGACTCACGCCAACAGTTTTTGCAGGATTCCAGTCGTCGAAACGAGACCAAAGAAACGGGTTCTCTTCAGCTCACAACGCGTAAACACGTAAACACAGACACACATTTGTGTTTGGATCTACAGGAAGAAACGGAACTCAAGAACTATTTGGATAATTAATCAACCGGTCGATTTAAATTCATCATTATCTGGATGAAAACATTTATTTTGTCTATTTGTAATATGAATAATAACTCCGGTTCAATCATGCGGCTGTTTAAACTGCGTTGCTAAGCAGCAGCGTGCGTCTACAGGTAATTCCTGTCAGCTGACTTCATTCACACGAGTGTTTCAGCTAATTCCTGCTGGCCAACGATTCGTTTCCGCTTCTAACGGACAAACTGACGATTACCGATTTTGAATTGAGAATTGAGTCTGAGTGACAGGCGGGAGATGACTGGATGTAGCGTGATGGGGCTGGTAGTGAAAACGTGTGGGTCATTGTGTCGGGATCTTACTAAAAGGATTCCTGTCACAGAGTGATTGACACTCTTCACGTAGACGGAGCAGCGGCCCGCGGGCCACCGAGGGGCCGCCGGTGTTTTCTGCTGGATCTCTGGACGTTTCATTGGGTTGAAGCCGTCATTTACGCCTCACCTGGATTCACCTGCTCAGTAGAAGAAACAGGCGGCCCGGCGACCTTTGCCCTCTGCGTCATCTTGTAGAAACCCTCGGTTGGAGGGCGAGGCCGCCTCGCGGGGAATGGCAGGAATGTCGGCGTCGTGTCCACACTCGCCTCCTCTCGCTCTTCTTTCTTTAGCTGGAGCTTGGGAACGTTCTCCCTGCTCCTCAGTGAAGGTCTATTGGTCTCCAGCTACAACGGAGGACCACGGGGGGACAGACAGACAGACAGACAGGCAGACAGGCAGGCAGGCAGACAGGCAGACAGACAAAGACTCAACTGTACATTTGTTTGTCCTAAAATAATCCGACTAATAAGTCATAATGACGCCGACTGTGCTGATCTGTGTTTCTGTCCTCAGGGTGGAGTCACCGTACTAAAGCCGCTGCTGCACGTAGGTGAGTGTGTGTGAGTCTGTGTGTGTGTGTGTGTGTGAGTCTGTGTGTGCTGGAGATAAGACTGTTGATTCAAAGTGTTGCACACAGATGTGTTGTGCGTCTAACAGATAGTTAGTGTGTCTGAAACCTGCAGCAGATTCCTGTTCTACCTGTTTGTCTTTGGGACGGGAAGCAGAGGCCTCGTCATGTATAGAGGGCAGTACGGACGGATACTCATATCTCCTCATAACCAAATAATCACTGACAATCTGTCAATCAGCGTGTAGCCCCGCCCTACAGCGTCCCCTGCTTCATGTTCCTGCGTCTGTTTGCCTCTAAATGGTCCATCATTCACTAGATGAACATCATGCTGTGTTGAAGACGACTTGAAACTAGAAGTAGAGTCATTTCCTCATAGACGTCTATGGGAGCAGAGGAGTCGCCCCCTGCTGGTCACTACAGAGAAGTAGAGTCATTTCCTCATAGACGTCTATGGGAGCAGAGGAGTCGCCCCCTGCTGGTCACTACAGAGAAGTAGAGTCATTTCCTCATAGACGTCTATGGGAGCAGAGGAGTCGCCCCCTGCTGGTCACTACAGAGAAGTAGAGTCATTTCCTCATAGACGTCTATGGGAGCAGAGGAGTCGCCCCCTGCTGGTCACTACAGAGAAGTAGAGTCATTTCCTCATAGACGTCTATGGGAGCAGAGGAGTCGCCCCCTGCTGGTCACTACAGAGAAGTAGAGTCATTTCCTCATAGACGTCTATGGGAGCAGAGGAGTCGCCCCCTGCTGGTCACTACAGAGAAGTAGAGTCATTTCCTCATAGACGTCTATGGGAGCAGAGGAGTCGCCCCCTGCTGGTCACTACAGAGAAGTAGAGTCATTTCCTCATAGACGTCTATGGGAGCAGAGGAGTCGCCCCCTGCTGGTCACTACAGAGAAGTTACGTTTGGTTGCGTCTTTTTGCTAAACTCTGTGAATGTCGACACGCGGATGAAGCGCAGTTTAAGAGAACTTTATTAAATTATAGTTTAAATGACAAACATCCTCACCGGTGGTTATTGAATTAGCTCATAAACATTGTTATACCAGTTAAAAACTAGGCACTCAAAAGTACATTTGAATAAACTATTTCTGGATGAAACTAGACACAAGTAAAGGAGTCGACACAATCCGTCACCTGCTGAATATTTCACGTGTGAATCATGGACAACAAAACAAAGACTAAACAGGTTGAACGTGGACGGGTGTGCCCGACAAAACACCCCGAGGTGTGTGTGTGTGTGTGTGTGTGTGTGTGTGTGTGTGTGTGTGTGTGTGTGTGTGTGTGTGTGTGTGTGTGTGTGTGTGTGTGTGTGGAGATAAAATAGACAAAAGGCCTGCTCTTATTTTGAAAATATTTGACTAAGATTTCTTTCTTCTCTTCAGGAGATATCGGCCCAAAACATCTGATTATTATCTTCTCCCATGATGCATCTTTGCAGCCGTGAGGAGCGTGCAGTTGGATTCAAAGCCGTCCCCCCTCCCCCCTACCACCCCCGCCCCCCCCCCCCCCCCCCCCCCCCCCCCCCCCTCGTCCCCTGCCATAATCAGATTTCTCACACCTGTGGATTATCAGCTGGAATCTTTCCTTTTTTTATAGCTCTTTTTTGGCACCGTCTCCATGAACTTGTCCATCGTCATCGTCATCATCATCATCATCATCATCATTGTCATCTTCTTCTCCTCCTCTTCCTCCTGATGTTTAACAAACAATTTGTCCGGCTCCCACTCACTCAAAAGCACAAGAAACTGTGCGACAGACGTTTCACGATGAGAGAAACTTTATCCAGCTGGAAACCCGAGAAGGAAATTCACACACACACACACACACTCACACACACACACACAGACACACACAGACACACACACACACAGACTCACACACACACACACACACTCACACACACACACACAGACACACACACACACAGACTCACACACACACACACACACACAGACTCACAGACACAGACGTGCAGGATTCTGGGTTCTGATCTGAATCTTTGTGGTTTCATTTGTCTCATCGTCCTTTTAACACATTTGGCTACAAACACGTTGGCGGTTGACGTGTTTTTGTTGTTTTGTTGTTTTAAATGCTTCTAACCAACGAGAACAACGATCCACTTTAATAACTGACGTTTGACGTCGATACAGGCAGAAATAATGCAGCATCGTGTAAATCAGGAGGAAACAGACGGTTGTGGGTCGCTTCATTCGCTGCTTCACCTCCATCCTCTCGAGTGGAAGTGGTGCGCTACACGCGAGGTGGTGGTGGAGGTGGAGGTGGTGGAGGAGGAGGAGGAGGAGGTGGAGGAGGAGGAGGAGGAGGAGGTGGAGGGCGTTGGAGGCGGCGTGGAGGAGGTGGAGGTGGTGGAGGAGGAGGTGGAGGGCGTTGGAGGTGGTGGAGGAGGAGGTGGAGGGCGTTGGAGGTGGTGGAGGAGGAGGTGGAGGGCGTTGGAGGCGGCGTGGACTCGGTTCAGCGCGCAGCGACGAGGCGCTGGGAGCAGTTTGTTGGGTGAAGTTTGGCGTCCTGATGTTTTTAAAGGTTTTAAATCCCGGCAGGTAGAAGATGAACCCGACTCTGAGTTTCGGGACTCGTGTTTTGTGTGTTTGTCTCAGGCTTCGACGTGCACTGATCTCCAGTCAGACAAGTATTTATTTTGTTTAGAAAAACCTTTAAGATCGTTCTTGTTGTTTGCTTTGCTGCAGAGAAGAAGGCTCAAACTGAATTTTAAAAGTCTTAAAACGAGGTGTGGTGTCGTGGTGTCGTGGCCCCGGTTTGGAACAACTGTCTATTCGTAGTGATTCAGGCGACGCTTCGTACGAGAAGCTCAAGCAGCCTGGTTGTAAATAATAGAGACCCGTCGCCTGTAAACTGTTTGTTGTTTCCATATCGTGTTCATTTGTTTTGTCCTCTTGTTTATCCAATGTTTACAGAAACTGTCTCCAAGTCGCCTTTACAGTCCCTGTAAGAACCATCACACAAGTGTCCCCACGGCGGACTTCATGTCCAATTTGACCTCCTTGTGAAGCCATAAAAGATGTGGAAAAATTCTCCTCATTTTGATTTGAGCGCTTGTTGAGTTTTTATTGATTGAAATATTGTGTCAATCACGACCAATCAGAGTCCTTCAAACCACGGCAGAGATGTCTGGTTCTTCATTGGAACGGTTCCTCGGAGAAAAAGCCCTCCGTCTCCACATCTCACTTCTCCTCAGTTTCAGCTTCTACGGCTTCTTCTTCTCCTTCTAAACTTCTTCTTCTTCCTCCCCTTTGTTTTCTTCCTGGTCTCAACCTTCTTCTTGCCGACATTCTTCTCCTCCCTCTACTTGTATTTTCACTTCTCCTCGAGCCTCCAACATTTGGGCAGTTGAGGACCTCCCCCATGGTCACGTGACTTCACCTCCGCTAAAGGAGGACGTTTAGTAGTCTGGCTTGTAGGGCGACAGAAGCAGATGTTCTCACTTCCTGCAGGTTTTCTCTCATGGTGTAAAACTGAAATGGTTCCTCATGAAGACCGAACACACCAGAGGAGCGGGTCAGTTTCTGAGGGTCCGATAACCATTACAGCCCACGTGCTGTGTGTTCAGTGTCTCGCTGAGCCGTGACCTTTGACCTGCTGAGCAAAATCCACCTGGTTAAACACACCTGTGGGTTTAGTGAGATACGACACGAGTTTCTCTCCAGCGGCCTGAGAGCTTCCTCGTGTGCCGCCAATCCTGACGTTCTGACGGAGGACAAACAACTAATCTAAGTTCCTTTTATTGCACCTTGGGGGCTCCTGAATGTTTCTGTTGAATGTTTCTGTGAAGCAGACCGGCAGCAGCATGTTCACCGTCACTGTGACATTCTAAGAATCATCAGAAAAACCGTTCAGGGGTTTTTCCCACTGAAAGCAAATCCCAGAATTCAGTTGCATGTGTTTTTTCTTAAAGTTTAAAAATGCAAACATGGGACCAATGAGAGCCAAGTGGGAGGTGTGCTCGTCCAATCAGGAGACTCGGCTTCATCCTTCTGCCGTTTGAATGAAGCCGGTTCTCAGAGGGCGGATCAGTGGAGGAACCAGACTCAATAGACAGGTCGGATGTCTGAAGACGCTACAATGTGTCTTGAAAAGGTGTGTGTGTGTGTGTGTGTGTGTGTGTCGTCAGGCCTCGACACGCCTGCAGCGTTTAGTCAGGAATGCGTGTTGCGTGTCGTTGAGTCAACGCTGAGCCACGCAGAGCGAGCGGGGACCAGAAACCGTCTCCGCTCGGTTTCACTTCCCCGCCGGCGTTGGTTTCCAGTAAAATGCGTCCTCGTGTCGGGACGCTGGTGGCGACGTGTCCTTCGTGTTCCCTTTTTCACGGGTCTGACGTTCTGTGCCACTATCGGGTGTGAGACACCGTTCTGAAATCGAATGAGCAATAAAACTGTGAATGAGCCGTTGCTTTCTACAAAGATCCTTCATTTAAATCCAAAGCGACTCGCATTTGTAACCCGTGGTTTTACGTTTTGCCCGGGGGGCAGTTTGGGGTTGAGTGTCTTGCTCAGGGACACTTCCGCATGGGTTCCAACCGACAACCCTGCTGTTTACGCAAAGCTATAGAAACGCAAATGAAAGATCCCTCAGAAATTAGTTATGAAAAATATAAAGAAAATACAACTAAGGACAATGAACAAAAAGGTGCACAAAAAATGACTGTAAAATATGTCAAACACTGGATCAATAACGTAAAAGAATATGTGATAACAAGTGAAATAGAAATCAACAGGTGGCGACGTCTTTTCTCTTCTTACAGTTTTTCAATTGGTGTAAGTGACTTAAAGGTTAACGTGTACACGTCTCTGTCTTCAGTGCCCCCGTGTGGAGAAGCACTTCTTGTCTCTGGAGGACAGTTGGTACTTTGATGCTTCTACCCTGAGGAGGTCGGTGGGCCTGTGTGAGCAGGTAGCGCTGTGTGTGTGATTACAGGCTGCACAAATAACAGCCCTGTTGGCTGGAACGGCAGCATAACAACTCGCAGCTGACACGCGTTTTGCTCTCACATGTACGGAAGCTTATGAGGCGAAACGCAAACGTCAGGACTGTTTCTTTTACAAATTACAGTCAGAGTCGGTTTCAACTAAAATCCCATGTTGAAGTTTTGGAAAGGCCCACGATGATCTACATAATGTCACGGCTGACTAATGGTCCAGAATAGAATGACCTCTGCGACCTACTATCCTATGTGTTTTATTTTATCTTCTATGATCAAAAATCATCATAAAACCTTTTAAAAAAAGTCATCAAAACGTTTAGTAGGTCAATAAAATCATTAAAGTAAGAGTCAAGCATGTCGGCAAAAAGTACATTCAAAACGTATCCCATAGAATGTAGAAAACAATTCTGAATACAAATATTATGTCAATGTCATGAATAGAAAATCAGAATATATTAATTTCAAGAAAATATCGAGACAAATACACCCAAACCTTTTCTGTCCAAAATGGAATGAATGTTTCTGCCAAGTCATTGTATTGTGTATTTTTGTCATATACTATAATTTCTTTAAATATGAAATGATAAATATAAATGTTTTTAATCGTTTAGGTTTTGTTTATTCTTTTTTGTGACAGCCTGTTATCCCACTGGTTCCTCTTTTACTTTTCACAGGAATCTGTCACAAAACATGATTAACAGGAAGTTTCTTCCTTCCCTTCTCTGATTTCATCCTCGTATATTGTAGGGGACTACAATGCCCGAATTCACCGAGCCCCTTTGGGAGACAGGGGCGTAACCCTGGTGACTGAATGTTAAAAGGAAGTCAATGGAAGGGGGGGATGTTGGATGGAAATAAACGGCTACACGCTGTAGCCAAAAGGAATACTTCAAAGCTTGTTTCCAGGCTCCTACAATATCATTTTTTTAACTAAGAGGCCCAGAAAATGGAAGTTAAGTTCCCTGCTAGAACTGGTATCCACGCAACCCAATCCCAGAGGCGACCTGTCATCTCACTCCTAAATCACAAGGAAACCTAAAAAAAATGTCTTGTGAGGAAACTGCTTGGATAATAGGTTGCCACAAAAAGAAAATATATACATTCAATAAATGTTCAAAACAATGTTCAAAAACATGTAAAAGAAATATATCAAATTAAATAAATATATTTGAAATTGATTAAAAGATAATGAAGGCAGAAACGTGTGTTTATCACATCTTGTTTTCTTTAAAATGCCAAGAAAAACTGAAAAACCTTTTTGAGGGAACCTCTGTGATACCAGGCTGTCAAAAACTAATTTAAAAAAGCACTCAAGAATATTCAAAGAAATCTTGAAAAATACATTTACAAATATATTTTAAAAATATTGAATACTAAAAAGATAATACTTAACAGAATAATGAAACAAGGGGAGGGATATATTTAAAAAAATACTCCAGAATCAAAGAATAATAATTAGAAATGTAATGAAATAATCCCTTATTCCATTATATTTCTAATTACTATTCTAATGACGGTGACTTGTTTACCACATATCTTGTTTTCTGCGAAATATTAAAGGAAAACAAAAAGAAAATCGTCTTTTGAGACTAATCAAAGAATCAAATACAATTATAATTTGAATGATAATAATAAGGGAAGACAGAAACTTGTTAGCCACATATCTTGTTCTCTGCAAAATTCCTAAGAAAACAGCCAAATTTGCAATTTGCAATATTAGTCCATACAAAATAAAATCAATTGAAATGAACAATATGTTGTCGGAAAAAAATTCAACTTCCGATTTCTTTGAATTTCATTTTTTTTGTAAACAACCAAATGACATAATAATCCTTAGATAAGGATTTAAAATTAATTTAAAATGAAATTTGAATAACCCTCTAAAATATATTGAAAATAATATTCAAAAAAATTCACAACATAAATGTCAAAAAATATTCATTTTTTTAAACAAATAAATAGGGACTGATAAATAAACATCTTATTTTTCTTAATTTGTTTAATATTTTCCATAATTTCTTTTTTTGAAAGCTTATGTGAAATATGCAATATCTCTTGCTATTTCAATTCATTTTTCATTGTTTTTTGTGGCAACATAATATCCACTGTTTCCCCACAAACACACAAAAAGAAACCAAAATACATTAAAAAAGTCCCCAAATTACCAATAGAAATAAAGAGAAAATACTAAAAGCAGTAAATGTTACAACTGACCTTAACCTAAACTTACCATTAAAAAATATTTTAGAAAAAGTAGAAAAACAACACTGTAGTATTGTTGGTAGTGAGTGAGTTTGAATGAGATTCTTAGTTCTACAGTGACAGACAACACACAAAGCTCAAACCGTCTTGTCAGCGGTTTTCGAAGGATTCGCGTTGTCAGCGCTTTCTTCTTTCAGCACAATGACATCATCACCATGACGAAGAAAAGGGAAAAAAGAGTCAGACTTGTGAGTAAAGACCGTAGACTGACGGAAATGACTCCCGATACTTTACTCAGTAACCTTCAGCACCTTCAACGTGGAGATAAAACACTTGATCAAGTCATTGAACTACAAAGTAAATTGTTTCCAGAATGATGAGCGTATGTTAACATAACAAAGAGCAACTCATTTATCCTGGAAACAAATTAATGTTGTGATAAAGATGTGTTAAACTTTATGTTCTCGTTTTAAAGAAAAGCAAACTCTAAAGACGACGCTTTTCTTTATATTAAGCTTACATATTCATTATATATTAAACATTTATTATATATTACTACATTTTCTTAAAAACGACAAAACTTGTGACTTTCCGTCCGCAGAAATACCATCAATATATATATTCATAGTTTTATGCACTCTTTTGGTGGAGCTACAATAGAAGTTTCCCTTTGCTTTCATTCCTTGTGCTAAGCTAGGCTAACCTAACCTAGCCAGGCTAACCAAAAGCAATGACAATGCTCCCCAGTATGTCCTCTGTCTCTGAATATGAGACATAAAATACGGACGTTCCTCAGGACGGGACACATGCCGGAGTCACCGGTTATTCAACACTCGGCTTCTTCTTCCATCTCGGGAAGTCAAAGCACATCAGGACAGAATATTGAGTTCTTGGGTGTGTGAAAAAACACCCGAGGATCTATTTAACTGTATTTAGACGTATCGTCTGCTAACCTGGGTGTCCCCTGGACAGATAAGAACTTCACATGCAGCAGTATCTTTTGGTACATAGACTGTTTTTTTTTTATTCCAAATGTGTGTCTACATATTGAACATCAGAGGGCTGGAACCCTACAGTCACGCACACGCCAATATCAATACTAATGATGACAAGAGAATCATCAGCGCGTATCGGCCGTCTGTCCTGCTGAAGGGCAGAAAAAAGGAAACAAGTCAACGTGATGACATCGGGACTCGGGCGGCACGGACGCACACACACACGCACACACACACATTCCTGTTTTTTTCCTTATTCATAAACCATTTCTTTGTTTCATTTTCTAAACATTTTATACGCAATTTTATTGTTTACAAAAATATTAAAATAAACAAAAACTACAGGCACTGATCTGAAATAAAACTTCCATAAATTAAATATTTAAAAAATCCCCTTTTTTCGGTCGATGTGATTGGCCGATATGTGAATCCGGGTGACCCCCGACCTCTTACATCCCGGCCTCGAATCAACATGACATCAATTTTAAGGAGTTACCTCCAAAAAGGGAGTAGAGAGGGAAGGATAGTCCGATAAAGAAAGTGATATTACAATCTCAGTTGTAGTTTTTCTCCCTGGGAATGTGTGTGTGTGTGTGTGTGTGTGTGTGTGTGTGTGTGTGTGTCAGCTCTATTACTCACCGAAGGACAGTTGTACTGAGGAAGCTCCTCTCTTTTTAGGGACAGTTTAAAAATATTAGATTTGTGAAAAGAGGTGAAAACCTTTTGTTAACACCCTCAAAACCCCAAATAACACATTGTATTGAAATGCTACAACTGGTTTCACCACTAAAACACAAACTAAAATAATCAAAATGTTGCACTCCACTTTATCTGGAAATTGTCACAACATACATGAATTTGCATATCAAAGGAGAAATAATAATATAATATACCAGAATGACATCTCCCTTCAACAAATGCTGACTGCGTTGTGATAAAATGAGTCCCTCACCGTCATCGGTGTCCGTTTTCCCAAATCCGATCTTGTTGCCCCATTTGGACAGATTTTGAAATTGGAGGAAAAAACTCTGCAGCTGGACGTGATATTTGACTGGATTGTTTAATCTATTCTGATGATGTAACTTTAATTAGTTCAAACAACAGAAGAGCAGTTCAGTTTTTCTCTTTCTGAGGGCGTGGTTAGCCTAGCTTAGCATAAGTACGGGAAGCGGGGGGGAAAAATGTCCGCGGTTCTTAAATACACCCAGTAACAAGCTCACTGATTAACACATCGTACCTCTCTGGAAATCAGTACAAAAGAGGAGTTCTGGATCCACTTGTCTGCCCAAGCGGGCGGTTAAATCCAGTGTAGCATTACAGCATGGTGTAATTAGCAGCTAGCTAGATGGTTAGCTGTTAGGTGGCTAGGTTGCCACCTCCACCATGCTTTAATGCTAAACTGGTAACGGAGGATGAGCTGAAAAGGCTCGGCGGAATTGGGGGAGCGGCAAAGTACACTGGTAGCACACCTGTTAGCTAGCATCAAAGCCTGTTGGACCAAACAAGTTAGCCAAATTACTATCCAGCCGTCCATTGCTACCTAGCTAGAATGCTAATTGCCCCATGCTGTCATCACATTACATGTCATTTAGCTGACGCTTTTATCCAAAGCATTTCAACCATAAGGACACATGATGCTACACAGGTTGCAGAAAGTGAGCTTTGCTACGCTGTGAAAAGTGACTATCAGGTTGTTACATTGAACTCATTAAGTGCGTAACTTGATTTAAGTCAGTTTATGACAATGTCCGCTCGGCTGCAATTTTGTTTCTGTGGCAGTTTTAAGTGAGGCCAAATGTTTGTGCTAAGCTAGGCTAACCGAGTCTGGTCTCTCTCTCTCTATTAAATTCATGTATATGATATTTAGATCCATCTCAACTTGTCATTCTTTAAAACATTCTTTTTTTTAAAGACTCTTTAAAAAATGGTAGCGGAAATGTTCCACTGCGTATTCACTGATGCTAGTTTCCGATTGGCCGACTGTTACCAGGACGTATGATGTCTCCTGTCTCCTGGTGAAAGAGACGCCACGCGGCCCAGCGCGGCTCGGTACACTTCAGGTGATTGACGCGTCGACCTCGTGGAGCAGACAGTTCAATAGACATGTGAATGAACGACCCGGGGTCATGGAGAGCCGCGACCTTTCGGAGCCGCTCAGAGGATCGACAGATGACTGCACAGCTGCTCTGCTGCCGCGCGTGACCGTGTGCACAGCAGGTCTCAACATCTGGTTCAGTACTCAAACGTCAAGGGAAAGTCCTCCTCGCCGAGGTGGAGGACTGAGCGGGGGGGCGACAGATGAGCCCCCGGGACGATTTATCTGCACGTTTTGTTTGTCCGTCTGCAGCCCGACTCAAGTGACCAAGTACCTGTTTAACGGAACGTTGCATTCATCCACCTCGCGTACCGTTTAATACGATCCATTCATGTTTCCCGCCATCAGATTGGTTTAGTCCGTCCGTTTAGTGGTTTGATCCATCGAACCAATGTGGCCTTGTTTCTAGGGACGACCCCTCAAATGGGTCAAAATGGTTTCCCCCAGCGGCCTCCCAGTTTTGGACCATATGTGTCATTGGGGCCGAAAACGTGGTTTTAAAACCTTGACCTTTGCCCCCCGCTGTTGACCGCCCACACAGCCTTCTTTTGCGTCAGTTGTGACCCACCAGTAAGTCCGTCGGCGGGCGCGTTGGCGTCCTCGGGGGCGGCTGTGGCCGCGGTGGGGGCGGCTGTGGTCTGCTGTTGCTCTGCCGCGGACTTGGCGCCCCCCCGCCCCCGTCGCTGTCAGCTTTGTTCGCCGGCATTGGTGGAGGCGGCGGCGGGAGGCGAGGCAGCGACATGGAGCCGTGGTGGTAGTGGTTGTGGTGATGGGGGGTTGTGTCGGAGGTGGGTGACCCCCGGGGGGAGGCACCCGGTAGCAGGAGGACTTGGAGGAGGACGAGGAGGAAGGAGGAGGGCAGAGGAGGTGTGAGCGCGGCCGGCCTCGAGCTCTGGATCCGCCGGCACTCCTGGCAGATTCGCACGTGGCTGCAGCCCTGCAGGAAGCCACGCAGCGGGGGGGGCGGGGCCACCAGGGCCGACGCCGGAGGAGGTGCGCCGGCGGCGGTGTGGCCTCCCAGCGAGTCCTCCAGCAACCTCAGTGGCCCCGGCCCCAAACCAGGGAGCCCTCCCGTGCCCGGCCCGCCCGTCATGGAGCCCACGCCGCTGTAGAGTTTCCCGTTGCTGAGGCGCATCTCGCGCACCAGGCGGATGGGCCGCGGCGTGGCCAGCGCCAGGCGCGACGGGTGACGCAGGACTCCGCCCCGGGCACTGCTCAAAGGTCGGCGGCGCCGGGAGCGAGAACTCTTCTTACAGGAGACGGCGTTTCTGAACTCCGTCAGCATCTCATGACAAACGGAGACCTGCGAGGGAGGAACGCGTTCATTAATCCCACAGATGTTCACACGAAACAGGATTCTGATGATCCTTTAATCTGATGGCAATTAAGAAACGTGAAGGAGGACTTGAGCCTTGAGACTTGATTATACATTTTTGACATGATTATTATTTTACGCAGTATTATTAAAAATGCAAAATGAACACATGTTACATCATATTTTAGAATGTTTTTAGACTAAACAGAAACTTTTAAATAAGAAGGTATTGCCTTCCGATGGATATCAGTCAAAGCATTATAATTATATAAAAGGCATGTTTTGTTTTAATTAATTTAGTTGTTTTCTTTGTTAACCTGTTCCTCCTACGTGGTTAACTGACTTAGCCGGATAACTTTCAGGATGAGGTGACGTGGTTCAGGCTTATCGGTTCCCTGAAGCAGGTTTGTCTGAACCTGAACCTTCATCTGGATCAGTTCTCCTCGTTGATGCAGGAGCGACATCCTCTGGCCTGTAGCGCCCTCTAACGGCGGTTCACTGGTGTTACATCAACTATTTACATCGACTTATTACTTTTTGTCGGTTGCTAAACGTCAGCGGACACAACCGGAGTCACGTGTGCAAAACTCTCCATCTGCACAGCAGCATCATGAGGACCGAACTCTAGATCCTTTTCAGTGCTTGAACACAGTGAACTTACGCACTGATCACATGACGTCATGACGCACACACAACCTGCACAACACTGTGGATCCACTGCACTTTGTTCAGATGCAACACGCTGCTGTCAGAACTGAACCACACAGTCAACACGGAATGAGCCTCTGAAACACTGAGGACTCTATTCAGCTGAAAGTTGTTTAGACGTGTTAGTGAACACACACACACACACACATATATGTATATATATACATATATACATATATATATATATATATATATAGCTTTTCCAGCAAGCTTACTTGAGGTGGTGGGACGGAGAGGAATACGGTAATCATACCGTATTCCTCTCCGGCTTGCTGGAAAAGCTATATATATATATATATATATATATATATATATATATATATATATATATACATATATATATATGTATATATATACATATATGTATATATATATACATATACACATATATATATATACATATATGTATATATATATATATATATATGTATATATATTACAGTATATACAGGTGGAGCTCAGAATGGAAGAAGGAAGACGGGTTGGTGGAGACACAGAAGACAAAGAGCTGTTACTTCAGATGGAATAAGGCTTCACTGATGGACCATGTGGGGAACCACGTCTCTCACTGAGCGTTGAGGGTGGAACCCGATCTGCAAACATCCACAGTGGATGAGGTCTTCCAGAAGGTTCTGCCCCAGGTTGATGGAGAACATTAGGTGTGATGGTGATGAGAACCTGTGTCCTGATGAGAAGCAGGATCAGCCCTCAGTTTGTTCACATTACAGTCTGTACTTTTACTTTCTACCTTTTTATCATTACTGTAATTCTGTAAATTACTACAGACGATTGAAGCAAACGGCTCATTTTCATTTACCTTAAAGAATTGTTATGTTCTAAAAATGTAATAAATCATGTGAAAGAAAATCTTACTTTGTATGACGTCACTGAAACGGTTCAAAGTGTGAAGATGAACAGTATTTGAGTATTTGTGTGTTTGTACTCTCAGTGTGTCCTGAGTGACAGTGTGTGTTGTGAGTGACAGTGTGAGTGACAGTGTGTGTTGTGAGTGACAGTGTGTGTTGTGAGTGACAGTGTGTGTTGTGAGTGACAGTGTGTGTTCTGAGTGACAGTGTGTGTTGTGAGTGACAGTGTGAGTGACAGTGTGTGTTGTGAGTGACAGTGTGAGTGACAGTGTGTGTTGTGAGTGACAGTGTGAGTGACAGTGTGTGTTGTGAGTGACAGTGTGTGTTGTGAGTGACAGTGTGTGTTGTGAGTGACAGTGTGTGTTCTGAGTGACAGTGTGTGTTGTGAGTGACAGTGTGAGTGACAGTGTGTGTTGTGAGTGACAGTGTGAGTGACAGTGTGTGTTGTGAGTGACAGTGTGAGTGACAGTGTGTGTTGTGAGTGACAGTGTGTGTTGTGAGTGACAGTGTGTGTTGTGAGTGACAGTGTGAGTGACAGTGTGTGTTGTGAGTGACAGTGTGAGTGACAGCGTTTAGTTGTGAGTGACAGTGTGAGTGACAGTGTGTGTTCTGAGTGACAGTGTGTGTTGTGAGTGACAGTGTGAGTGACAGTGTGTGTTCTGAGTGACAGTGTGAGTGACAGTGTGTGTCGTGAGTGACAGTGTGAGTGACAGTGTGTGTCGTGAGTGACAGTGTGTGTGACAGTGTGTGTCGTGAGTGACAGTGTGAGTGACAGTGTGTGTTGTGAGTGACAGTGTGAGTGACAGTGTGAGTGACAGTGTGTGTTCTGAGTGACAGTGTGTGTTGTGAGTGACAGTGTGTGTCCTGACAGTGTTTGCTGCACTGAGCCTGTGTGTGTTGAGAGTTGTGTTGCTGGCAGTGTGTTGTGAGGTCATGTGAGCGGTTTATCTCAGGTGTCGCTGTGCAGGTGGAGTCTGTACATGTGACTTGTCCTCGCTGATGTTTAGCAACCGGAAAAAACTGTAATACAAACTCTGAACTACTACCAGATCTCTCTTGAGATTAAATTATAACCCTAAATATAAAATATAACATGATGTAAAATAAAAATAAATAAATAAATGAAAACAACCAACACAAACAATCCAACTTAAATAAATGAAAATATAAAATACACAGAAAAATATCAACCAAAATTCATTCAAGAACATTTTATACTGTCAAAAAATGAGGAAAAAGACGCTCTTCCTTTAAGTTTATTTGCCGTATCGTTAAAAAATCCTGGTTTCAAACTAACGAGACGGTTTGAGCGCCGATCCGCCTTCGAGGAGCCGACATGTCTGATGTCAATCATCTCGGTAATCTGAGCGGGATGATCGGACATTTGATCGACTTGAACCACGTACGAGGAACCGGGCCCTGATTATTATGTGCTCACAAACACACACACACACACACACACACTTTATTACACAAACACACACAAACACACACAGACACACACAGACACTTTAATACACAAACACACACAGACACACTTTAATACACAAACACACACAGACACACACACACAAAGGCGGGTGACCTGCAGCTGAGGCCGGGGGCGGGGCCAGATGAAAGAGGAGGAGGAAGAGGAGGAGGAAGAGGAGGAGGAAGAGGAGGAGGGGGGATGAAGGGTTACCTCGTCCGTCTCAGCGCTGCGGCGCGTCGACCACAGGAACTCCATGACGGCCACAAAGACGGCGATGATGAGGCCGCAGATCAGGACCACGAAGATCCCCCCGATGTTCTCCATGCCGAGCCCTGAGACCCGGGGGGGGACATCACCATGAGGGGACGCGTTTGTCCTCCGGAGAACGTGCGCGAGTCTTTGACATGTTAACGCTGAGCTTATTAGCACAGCAGCATTAGCATTAGCATGAGCGTTAGCTCTGAACGAGAAGGACGTTTTGGACCTTCTGCATTCATTCACAACCGGACACCCACCTTTGGCCCGGTGGTCTTCCTCTTTGAGACACTGCCCCCCCTCCCACCAGCGTCTCTTCAGTATCTCCAGCCGGTTGCTCTCCTGCAGCTGTAGGATCCCCAGAGTGATCTCGTCTCTGTAGGGAGAACCTGAGGACGGAGGAAGGGGAACCACAGCATCCATCAGAACCTCTTCATCCCCCGTCTGTCCTGATCCAATAAGAACAAACCCAAAGCTTGTCTGTCTCCAGGGTGAAGGATGAGGAAGACTTGGTTGGACGCGAGGCAGAAGGCCTCCGTCTCAGCCGGACTTCCTTCTCTTCAGCCTTTTCCAAGTGGATGGACGTTGTTTCCCTTCCTCACACTTTTTGAGAACGTGTTTCCTCACATTACGTCTAACTACCGAAAACCAAACCAAATATTCTCAATCACAGACTTTTATTTGTGTCTTTATATTTTATCACTGCTATTTTTACTTAATCAACGATGATGTGAAAACTCGTCCCATCAGTAAAACCCATTCAGATACAAACGTGTCGTTTTTTAATATTTGTTTTAGAACTTGATTGATTGGGTGAATAAATCCCTGTCTTGTCTGAACTCACACCCCTTTTCCTTCGGTCTGCTGTCGTCTCATCAGGTTCCACTGAGACACGTGAAGTAACACCAATTGTTCACCGGTTTCCTCTGATCGCCTCCTGGGTTCTGTTTCACCTGCTGGGTTGGGATTGATCCTTCTTGAGGGCAGAATAGGATCTGGGTGGATTCCAGTGATGGTTCATGTTTTCACTAATTACCACCTCAGGGATCGAACACCAAGACCTTAGACTAGACCAGACCACCAACGACTTTAGAGCAGCTGCACCTTCTATTCTTCTCTTTTGAAGCTAATGCTATTCGGTTAGCATGGGAGACAGCGAGGGGGGGGCCCCGAGCTCCAACACTCCTCCTTGTTCCATTCTTCTCTCTATGGAGTCAGTTCAGTCTCAATAATTTCAAATGCACACAGAAAGACTCACAAATACAAAACGGACGGATGCACAAATCTTTGTGAATCTTTCTGTGTGCATTTGAAATTAGTGAGACTGAACTGACCCCTGATCAAATCTGTTCCTCCCACCTCTGTTAGCGATGCTAAGCTATGCACGAAACACTCTGCAGGCTGGCTTTAATTTGTCCGAGACCAGCATGATGAGAAGAGGGAGAAACACCACCAAGGACTTGGACACCAACATGTTTTCTGGATAACTTTTACCAGAAGAACACGAGGGAGGCTGAAGATAAATGTAGAAACTGGTTTCATTCCGTCTTTCTCTCTGAGCTCTAAACTCTTGTCTAAACGTGTTGTGGAATTCTCTCTACTTGCGCCCCCCCATCAGTAGAGGAACGCCCCCCAGCAGAAGGCCCCGCCCCCTGTCACTCACCCAGGGGCATGCCGATGCCGTATCCCTTGGTGTCCAGCAGCCCTCCGATCTGCGTGAGGTTGCAGTTGAGGCTGCGGTAGTACTCGTTCATGGTGCTCTCCATCAGGAAGGCGTACCTGGAGTTGAGGACGCGGGCGATGCCCTCCTCCGTGCTCTTCACGAACACGCTGGGCTGCTTGGAGTACATGTAGTTCCACATCCGCTGGTACGTCTGGTACCGCGAGTTCTGGAGGAATAAGGGGGGGGGGGTCACTGAACATCCTGGTACCTTTGGTGGGTTCCAAGATTGAAGGTAAGTCATCAAATGTTCCTCCTTCCTCAAAGTATGACTGCTGGAACTC